TCACTGTTCAGAGCTCAGTTTCCATTCATAGGCCCCAAGGATGCCAAGACTCCTGAGGACCGATGACACAGGCCTGAGATGGCGAACCCAGAAGCACCCTGAGATGTCCTGGAAACAGGGGGCTGCCTGAGACCTCCAGTTATTAACTGAACACCAGCAGCTAGTGCCCCTGAGCCCAGCCTCCGAGGCTCATAAATCAGCACAAGGACAAGCCCGGTCCCCTCCCCCTTTCCTTTTACTCCCTAATCCTCTATTGGAGCCTCTTGCAAGGAATCCTGGGCCCCAAAGCTGCTGGGTCCCCTGGGAACACTCGAGGATGCTCCTGGCTGCCCTGGGCCTGGGACGACAGGAACTGCTCCAGCAGCAGCCAGCAAGCCTGATGACTGCCCGATTACCTGTCCGATTAGTCCTTGTCCAGCTGAGGTGACAACAAAAAGCACTATAGCTAGAGAGCAGCAGGAGAGAATCCAGACTGTGGATGCCCGTTGGGCATCACCCCAGACCAGTAGCACCAGGGATGGGAGAGGAAGGGAGGTCCCAGGAATGCCTTTGGGCGCGACAGCAGCCCCTGAGTGAAGAGCTGTGCCCAAGCCCAGGCAAGCCCTCAGGACCCAGGGCTGCTTCTACACAGGGGAGAGTCCAGGCCTTGTCACTATGCCACATATGGGGCAGCAGATGGGCCCTGCAAACCTCCCGATTCCATACATCTCTTCTGAAGTCCCCATAATAATGAGCACCTATGAGCCAGGTGCTTGGCTGCAGGATTTTACATCAGTATCTCATTTAATCACCGAAGAACCTTTTGAGAGAGGTTCTTCGAGGATCCTCGCTGGTGGGTCAGAAAAGATCACCGATGATCTAATAAAAGCTTGAAGACAACAACAAGAGCAAAAGGAAACAATGCTTCTTAGAGATCTAAGGAGGGGAGATGAATGTCTGATGAAGTAACGAAGAAAGTGAGGACACATGAAGGCATTTCGCAGGAACTATAAAGACATGAAACGAATTCTTCAGAGAAAATTCTCTACCCAGAACAGTCAACCCGCTCTCAGGCAGAAGATGCAGAGGGTACCTGTTGTGGACCACATAATCGCCACGCAGAAGATTTTACATCAAAAATAAATAAAAACAAACAACTAAGCAAAAACTCTGGCTTCTCTTGAAAACATCAGAATTCTGGCACCACGGGGCTCTGATTGCAGCCACGAAGGTGCAGCTCGTTCGACTGAGTGAGCACTCTCTGCTCCAGCACAGTCCCCACCGCTCCCTAATGTCTTTCACTTGACTTTCCTCTCATTCCCACCTCCTGCCATTACCCCAAAGGCGCTTCCCAGCCGTCCCCCAGCTGCTTGGAAGAGCCCTGCTGCCTCCTGGTGGTCACAGTTCACAGCTTCTGTCGCTACACAGCAGTGACGCTCGCTACTCCGTCACCCGCAGCAGTGACACGTCCACCACGTTCACTCTGACCGTCTCATTTCATCCTCTTACCAACCCCGTGAGAACCGGAAGTGTTGTACCCATTTTACAAATGAGAACTTACTGAAAACAAATGACAAGGTTAAGTGAGTGGATTTTGCAGGATCCCCAGTCCCCGTGATGTTGCCAGGAATGGAATCCAGCGCTTTCCTTACCCCCAAGTCCAGAATATTTAGGCTCTGCCCAGCCACGACAGGCCCTAAAATGACTCTTCCGCATCAGAAATGAAGTCCTGGGGGAGGCAGCCAGGGCTCCCTGAGCTAAGCCCGAACTCTGCAACGAGTGCTTCTGGGTCCACGTGGGGAGGACAGGGTGGGCTGGGACCATCAAACTTCTCCATGCACGGAAACCGTGGTAAACGCTTTTGCTACGTGCCGATGGTCAAGTAGGCCTTGGACCCAGGCTTTCTAAGGCCAAGAGCTGAGCATTTTTCATGGCACCACCTGCCTCCCAGGCCTGAGCAGGCGTCTGTCCCTTTTGCTTTCCCCAAGACTGTTTATCCCACAAGCCAAGTGCCTGCCCCACCTCCTCCGGGAAACTGCCCCTGCCCACCTCGGCCTTCCCAGATCTCCTCCTTGTCAGAACACCCACAAGCCTGGCTCATAGCACCCCTCTGGGGCGGAGGACATCCTTCCTCATAGGCCTGACAACTGCTTGACGTTTGTACCCTACGGCCAGCTGGGGACTCCTTGAAGGCAGGACTTTGCTGTCCCATCTCTCTCAGATGTTCTCTGCAACGTGGATGGAACATCTATTACTCGAGCCATGTGGCAGAGGCTCAGGGAGACTCCAGCATGAATGAGAGCTTCCTAACCTCCCAGAGCACACAGTCACCTGTGGGCACAAGAGGCATGCAGCCAGAGCCTAGGGATCTCCTAAAATACCCCCCTGACCATGTCACTCCTCCGCCTCCAACCTTTTAGTGGCCCCCACTGCCTTCAGAATAAAACTCAAGGCTACTCACCGTGCCGACCTCTCTAACTGCGCCTGCTAACACCCCCGTACAGGCCCTGCGTTTTGACTCTATAGCATCTCAGTTCCCTGACTCCCCACACTTGTCACCTCTGGGCTTCTGCATGTGCCCTCTCTGCCACCTTCACTTAATCCCAGCCACCCTAGGCTTGGATATCACTTCTTCCAGGAAGCCTTCCTTGGCCACCAAGTCTGACTCAGAGGCAGGCCCCACTCCTGGGCTGGCATGGCACCTGCTCCTGCCAAATCCTGACCCTTACGCCACATGTAAGTGACTGCTGACTTGTCAGTGTCCCTCACCAGACTGTGGGCTCTGGGAGGACAGGGCCTCATCTGTCTGACTTCTTCCTGTATTCTCAGCAGCTGAGGCCAGCTCCTGGAGGCATGAAGGGTGCACATACTTGTGAAATGAACACAGGAGTGAACCAGGTGCCACTTTGATATATAGCAAGCGACCAGCGAACCAATGACATGCTGGGGCATCTGACTACCCAACAGTTAGAGTCACACGAATGCCAGCGACATTTACATCTTTGAAATCCTTTATTTCCAGCAGTTCACATCAGTTCCTCACTGAGCCAGTGCTCATCACGTTAACCAAGAATTCATTTGTTTTTCTTTTGATATTGTAATCTTGTCCTCAGATCCAAAACTGAGTTGGGGCCCAAAGGGTTTAAGAGGTCTCACTCCATCACAGGAAGCAAGGGGTACCCTTGCAAATCAGTCTTCCACTCCCAGAAGTCTTGTTCAGTTCATGGGCAAATATCTGAGCAAGTTTAGTACGTGGCAGCCCAACAGTGAAATCAGTAAGACACAGTACAATGGTTCTAGGCATTTGAAGGGGGAAAAAGCACATTATACAGAGTCCCCTGGAGAAAATACACACATTCTCCAACTTCTCAATATGCATTTTCCCACCCTTCAGTGACTTTTAATCTTATCCCCTGGTCTATGAGAAACCATAACCGATGTGCTACTGGATACATTTTTATTTTCCCTTCATGAGATGGACTGGGTTCCAAGTACGTTTCATTCTCCTCCCTTATGCCTATGAGATATCCAATGTTGTTCAGGTCCCTTTTAATGGCACTTAATAAATATACATTCTGGGACCTGACAGAACAGGCTGTTCCATTTCAAACTGCCTCTGAAGCTGCCTGGGTGAAACAGCTAGTGCAAAGCTCTGCTGGGCACATGCTAGCTGAGAGTTCGCGGCCACCTCTGACCCCAGCTCTACCTGTCCACCACTGAGGTCTTCAACCGCCCTGGCTACACTTTAGAAGCACCTGGGGAGCTTTCTGCATTTCTGAGGTCTGAGCCAGATCCCAGACCAATTTCATCAGAATCTCTGGGTGGCAGGGACCCTGGCTTTTGCCGTAGTTGAAAGCTGCCCAGGTAACTCCAGTTGAGCAGCCACACTGAGAACCTCTGAGCTAGAAGCACACGATGGGCTCTCAGCAATTATCTGTGTAGCCCACAAGCGGATTTCCTATTTTATTATCTGTTCCCCTGTGCTTCTATTTTTATCAGAAATCTGAGCAGGAAAGAGAAAGGAAAATGAGTCAAGAGCATCCCATAAAATGAATTTGGTGCTGAGAAAGGGAGCGTGGGGGCAGAGTTTCTCTCGCATTACGCAGAGTCTTCACGCTTTAACAAGCCCAGAGGAGGCACGTTCCAGACTGTCTGACACAGACATGTATATATTTCTTACAAGCTCTTCAAAAACCAGAGCTCATAGCTGTAGGCACTATAGTTAGAACACAGAGGTGTTCCTGGAAATGAATCTAAACTGCCACCTGTTTTACACACACTCTATCTTGAGTTGGTTCCAAACCGTGTAAGTTGTATAAAGACCACACTGGGTTACCTTTGCCCCTTTCTGTGAATCTCACAATTTATCTTTGCCCAAAGCAACAGCCAAGGGATGACGATCCCACAGCGACTGCGTCCAGCATGGCCCCGTGGCGCCAGTCTTCCTTGCAAACAGGAACAGTCTTTGAGGGCCTCCAACTTCCAGGTTCTAGAAAGGGATGACTCACTCACCCAGTTTAAGAGACTGGCTAACCAGAAAGCAGTACTGAGAAGGACCCAGAGGTGGATCCTGGGTTATAGGAAAGGACGCCATGTTGATTAGCAACGTGTGCTGCCACAGACACAGGCGTGGGGAGTGGCCACGTGGACGCTTCCGCTTGCCAGCCGGGCCAGCTGACGGCTGGAGCCATCTGAGACACTGCCAGCATTTACGTTTGTGTCACACTCGGTAGTTTACAAGGAGCCTCCACGTGGTCGGCTTCATATCATTCTCACCGCAGCCTGCGCGTTAGGGCTTTCTGGATGGGAAAACTGAGGTTGTGCCCTGTGTCTAAGGTCCCACAGCCAACTGGCATCACATCCGCCACTGCCTCCTGGCCCTCAGAGGCACCCTGAACCCACCGGGGGTTGCCCCTGGCTCCCCTTCTATCCAGAAACAGGAAACCAAGCCATTGCCTAACCTCCCCACCCACCAAGCCTTCAGTCACCGACTTCAGAGTTTCCTCTACGATTTACTTTGTCCCTGGTCCAGAGAAAACAGCCAACAGCCTCACACACCTTCCCTAACGCACCGTCAAAATCCCCTCTTCCCTGGAACAGCTTCTGAATTTGCCTGCACATATTCTAGAACTGTGACTCGGTCACACCCATTCCCAGGCCCGGCCAGGAGTCTCCTGGGAATCTCTCCACTGCGTCGCACGTACCCATGGCTTCCCCGCGTGAGAGGGCTGCCAGTGCTTCACTGCCCACGGTAACTCGGCCCCCAGCACGGAGAAACCAAAGCTGACTGGTCAGTCCGGGGTCTTCTCCTGACACCACACGCAGGACGTGAACTGCCCGCCCAGGCAGCGCTGGGCTTCACCAGCGCCCCTCCCCGCAGCCACACAGCACACGGCTCACGCTCCCATGGCAGGCCCAGAGGGAGGCACAGGACCCCTGGCCATAGCTGTGGCCTGCTGTCCAGGGTGTTGCAGCCCCAGCTTGGAACGGCTTCTTTGCGCAGACATAATGAGTGGTTCTGGCTGGAGCCTTCTGTGCCCACCTACGCCAAGCGCTCTGCGAGTCCCACCCACCTTTCTGGCTGCCTTCTGGGTGCCCTTCGCCCACCTGGCCCACTCTTCCCTTCCACCCCCACCTTTTCTTTGCTTCTTTTCCCTCCAGGGTCACAGTCTCTGAGCCCCCCAATCCCTTGGCGATGTGGGCTCCAAGGAGGGCACCCTAAGACGGCAGACTCCAGCCCCACGGAGCTGGGCTTGGGGCCCTGGCCAGGAAGCCGGAAGGCACGTATCCCCTCTGTCCGTTCACTTCCACCAGGCTCCACTCCGGGTTCCCCTTCTTGTCCTGCGCCTCCAGGACGGTCACGGGCTGGCCTGCCTGCAGGCTCACTTCATGGCTGCTTCTGGCCACAAAGGCGTACGCTGCCACCACCTGAAACACACGGGGAACGACACAGGAATGGTCATGGTGGGCAGACAGACAAATTCAATCCAGAGAGGCTGTTTATCCTGCTCCTATCCCACCCGGCTCTGGTCCCCACTGCTGGGCATTCATCACCTCCCAAGTCCGTCCTTTGTGCTAAGGACAATGGCTACATCTGCCAGTACCACAGCTAATACTTGCCGTGTGACTGGCACTGTTCCAGCACTTTACTGGGGGTTTTGGTTTTCACAACAATTCTATCCTTCTAATTGCCTCATTTTTCAGATAAGGAAACTGAGGATCAGAGAAGTTAAGGAACTTATTCAAAATCACACAGCAGCGAAGCTAGGCCTGTCTGACCTCAGAACAGGTGTTCTTGATCCATTGCTGTAGCTCCTCACCCCTCTCCAGATCTAAGGGTTTCATCCACCCAGGCCGGTTTCCCAGCTTGGAGTAGAGATAGGAGTTAGGGTGACTTGGTTACCTTTTTAGGGACAAGCACTGACTGGAGAAAAAATCTGGAGGGAAGGGCATTTATTAGGCTAATATTTAACTTCTCTGGACATCAGTTTCCTCATCTGCAAAATGGAAGTAATGATATCCTCCCCTCTGGGTCACTGAGGGAATTTAATGAATGAACGCATGCGGAGAGGGCTTCACACAGGGCCTGGCACACAGTAAGGGCTCGATAAATGCAGGCTGCCTGCTTCTCTTTTTCTTCTTTCTTTTTAACCCATTACTGCTAGTACTGATGGCCAAACCTCAGGACCATTAGCTGCGTGGCAGGATGAGGATGATCCCACGTGAGTCCCACAGAGCAGCGCAGGAACAGAGAGGAAGCAGCTGATATGTCTGGGCAGATAAACAGCTGAACTTACAGGAACCCCTGGGTAGGGGTTCCCTGAAACTGTACCCGCATTGACCAGGGCTGGATGGCAGGGGCAACCGCATTCCCTTCCCCAGGGGGCTGAGGCGCGTGATCAGTGGGGTGGGGCCTTGGCGAGTCCGTTGCAGCCCTGGCGAACAACTCCGGGCAAAGCAGGAAAAAGGTGGCCCCAAAACCCTCCCGGGGGCCGGGCAACAACCAAAAAACAAAGCAACCCAAAACCCCCCGCAACCCCCAACCAACCCCCCGCAAGCCAACCCAACGCCCTGGCCCGAGACAGCCACATCTTTCCACTGCAAGCCCTCTCTGTCCCGTCCTCTCTGTTACTCACGCCTGGCCTGGGACACTCGTCCTTGACTGCGGACGGCAACCGTGGGAGCAGCCCCCTTCACGGAGGTTCACGACACGTCCAGCCCGGCTTTTCTATCCCATCCAGTCCCTACGACGACCCCACTGAGCTTCTTCCCCACGCAAGGACTCCGTCCCTGCAAAGCCAAACCCCTCAACAGCTTCCCATCCCTCTTTTTGTTGAGATACAATGCACACATCATAACATTCACCCTTTTAAAGTGTATAGTCCAGTGGTTTTTAGTATATTCACAGATATGTGCAACCATCACCACTACCTGATTCCAGAACATTTTCATCACCCCAAGAAGAAACCTCATACCAGTCACTCCCCATCCCCCTCCCCTGAGCCCCTGCCAGCCTCTAATCCACCCTCTGCCCCTGTGGGTTTGCCTGTTCTGGACATCCCTATACGTGGAATCACGCGACATGTGGCCCCTGGTGTCTGCCTTCGCCCACTTAGCCTTAGTGTTCAAGGCTCACCCGTGCTGGAGCAGCCGTCGGCCCTCCCTTCCTTTCTGTGGCCGAGTGATATTCCATTGTAGGGATAGACCACACTGTGTTCATCCATTCATGCTGATGGACACTTGGGTTGCTTCTGCTTTGGGGCTGTTATGAAGAATGTTGCCATGAACATGCATGCGCATATTCCCACTGCGTTTCAGAGAAAGGCTGCCACCTCGTCAAGGCCACAAGGCTCTCTGGCCCATCCCTGCCAGCCCCTCGAGCAGCCCATCACTCCCTCTTCCCTGGCCACACTTCCCTGGCTTCATTCAGCTCCTCATATGCCCCCTGTGCTCTCCTGTCACAGGGCCTTTGCACGTGCTGTGCATGCTTTCCAGAGAGCTCTTCTCACCTGTGCCCCAGGACAGCCCCTTTATCTGGTTAATTCCTTCTCACCTTTCCTTGCTGAGAAAAAGCATCATTCTTCTCAGCAAAAGCTTTCCTGGACCTCTCCACACCTAGGGCTCTGGTACTTATCTCTGCTATTCACTTCACAGTTATTCAGGCAATTATTCTATTAATCACTGTTTTCCCCACCCCTGATCACAAGTCTGAGGAAGGCAAAGACCATGATTGACTTTTGTTCACCATTGTATCTCTCATCTAGTACAGTGCCTGGCAGATGCTAAACGAATGGACGAACGAGTCCTGCTCGCCCTGCCGATGGGGGACGAAGGGTTAACTCTCTGGAGCCGCTGTGCAGAGTGGGAGGCCACTTTTTCCAGGTCCCACCCATGGCCAGGACACCAGCATGGACACTGATCGAGGCCCCAGCCTCACAGAGTGGCAGCCCCTCCAGATGGGAGGAGCACAGATGTTGACAGAGGAGGAGAACCCAAGCCCCAGTGCAGTGGCCAAGGGGAGGCAAGCCCCTAGCCCCTCCCAGACTCACCTGGGTCATGGTGGGGACAGAGAGCACTGGGGCCCAGGTGGGCTCTGGTGTTAGATGTCGGGAGTCCCCGTGTGGCCTCGCCTGCCCTCTGAGCTCCTCCTCACTGGGGACCATGCGGTACGGCTGCAGTTTCCCAGCTGACACATACCCCCGATGTCCTAGGGGACAAGCAGAAGGTTACTGAGCCACAGGCCATCTTCCTGTCCCTTTCGGTGGTGGAGAAAGTCAGTGGCTGGGAATGCCTCCAACACAGCTTCCTAGCACCCAAAAGGACCTGAAAAGGTCATCCAGGAACCTCAGCCCCCTGCCCCTGCACACACGATTTCTAGCTTCTGCTTGCACACCCCCAGTGACAGGGGGTTCATTCCTTACTTGGCAGCCCCCTCCACTTGATCAGCTGTAACAGAGATAAAAAGTTTATCCTTGGACTCAGCATGAAAACTGCCTTCTTGGTGCTGGCACCACCGACTCCCACACCCCTCTGGTGGCCGCCCAGAGCAAAGCCACTTCCTCTCCCTAGGACTGCCTTTTCCAGGAGGCAGAGAGCCTTTCTCCTTCCCAAGCAGCCCCAGTTCCTCCTCCTGTGGCAGCTACTCCAGTGTTGCTCTGGTTGCTGTTGTTATGAATGGCTATCGCTTCCCCAGGGCTTGCTGGGTGCACGAACCAGCACTTGATTATCTAGTCTTCGCAGGTTGGTATTATTATCTGCATTTTACGTTGAGCCAGCCAAGCTCAGAGAAGCTCTATGAACTCCCAAGATCACACAGTAAAGTGGCAGAGTTGGAATCCAAGCCCAGCCCTCTTGGCCCCGGGGCCTTGCTTAATACCCAATCCATTGTTCCCAGCTTAGGTCAGGAGAGCGCTGTTTCCTAACAGCTGTCTGATTTGTACCGCCTTCTTGAGTTGTTTTCATTGACTCACTTTTTAAAACTTGGTCTTGTACTATACAATTATATGATTTTAATCATGGGCTTGTGGACTAGTTATATATTTTTCTAAGATATGTTAAAATACTTAAGTAACAATTATTGTAAACTATATGAAAGGGGGAAACCTATCTGTGGATCCCCCACAATAATCCCATGCAACCCTCATCTGGGGGGCACATGCCCCTCTTTGGAAGATGCTCTGCTGGGCCATCTTTTTCTGGGTTCGTGGTGCCACTTGCCTCGAGCCTGGTTCCACTGGGGCACCCAGACCTGAGCAGCACACCCCAAGGCCACGACCAGTGCAGAGGAGGCAGGATAATCACTTCCCTCGTTCTGGATGTCAGCTTTGTGTCCCGTAGCCGGGATCTGAGCACTTCTTCTCTGTGTGCATCCCCAGCTCGCAGCGGGTGCTGGGTTCTCTCCAGCTAGCTCTGTCCACCTTGCTAGCCCGTGAGGCCCCTGGGGCAGGTCCTCATCTAATGTGCACGGCACCCAGCACGCAGTAGGTGCTTGCTGATGGACCTCGCAATGAAAGACTGAATTCCTCTTGTTGGTGTTTCATGCTCCACTGGGTCACCCTAAGCTGACTGTGCCCCGAGCCCTGCATTCGTCACCTGTGCTCGTTGCCATCTGGATTTGCACAGTCAGACTTTGGTCTCCCGACTGGCTTCTGTGGGGTGGCCTTCCCAGAAAGAGAGGAAGGGCCGCAGAGGCCCACGTACCCCCAGTGTCCACCAGCCAGCGGCTGCTGTTGCCTTTGGTGTCCTTGTTTTGAAGAAGGGCCACGATTTGGCCCCGCGGCAGTGTCAGGTCCAGAGTCCCAGCCCCACTGATGTTGCTTGTCACCTGATAAAGCTTCCCGGGGCCATACCTGCTCAGGAGGGCCTGCACCTGGCGCTCAGACCCTGGAAGGAGTGGCTGGGGAGGGGAGGGACAGAGATAGACACGGGTGCTTGAATAAACGTGACAACGCCCACATACTAAGAGCCAGGAGCACTGGGCCTCATCCCACCTGCACCCCCCAAGGGCCCGGCCCCATCAGGGCAGCAGTGCGCTCACTGGTAGGTGGCTGGCTCTTAGTATCCAATGGCATTTCAGAAGATACTCCTAACTTCAAGAATTCTCTAAACTTCTAATTTAAGCTCGGAAATTTCTCAGTTATAGAACTCCTAGGATCGAGCCCTTACTTCTGCCCATACATCGAGCTAAGTCATCCCACAGGAAAATGCCCCATACATGTCTTCAAGCCCACGAGACTGTGAGCCTCACGGGGGGCACCAAGCCCTATTCAAGTGGCTTCTTAAATAACCAGCCCAGGGCCGGAAGGAGGGGAGGTTATCTTTGATCCCGTGAGTTTTCAGTCCACAAGTATTTACGGAGCATCTACCGTTTACAAGGCACTGAGTGGAGCAGAAACACAGGGACAGCTTTGCCCAGAGGGAAAGTGCCATCTAGCTGGGGGGAGTGATACGATGGCACTTTCAGCTCATCCAAAATCTCCTGGCATTTCCTGTTTTTCCATTCCGCGACACTGCCTCCAGCAAAAGCATCAACAAGAAGAGACTCAGGGGTGGCTGTCCCCTTTTTGTAAAACCAGAAACAAACTAAATATGTTAAATATATATCTACTGTTTTCTCCCCCCGTACATAAGCATAGACATTCACTATGTTCTACGAGGGGGTATGGGTTGGGTGTGAGGAGGTAGCAGAGGTGCCCTCCAGGGACATTTGGGCACAGACAGCCACATCCCCACCCCAATGGGGACGTCGAGTCAGGACTAAGAACCAGGAGAGCTCAGCGTTTCGAAGCAGGTCCGTAAAGAGAAGTGTAGACACGGGCAGCTTCTTTTCAGAACAGTGGTGCTGGGGTGGTTTCCTTGGGAAGAGCTGCGTAGCCCACACGGGCCTCCCTCCTCCAGCCCGACCAGCCCCCGTCTGTGTGGAGAACAGCAGCGCCCCTGGGGTGCCCCGGGAAGGGCACATGGCGACATCACCAGGACTGCTCCTGTCCTGGGGGCCCCCTCGCTCCCGCCGGGTTCTGCACCCTCAGCCAAATACGGCCGGAATTCCTGGGAGGTTTGTGTGTGAGGAGGGGTGGGAGGCTGGGAGAGCGGTGTCTTCCTACCAGTGGGCAACACACTGGGATTACGGGTGTTTCCATTTGTTTCTTCCTTCTTGCCTTTCTGTGTCTTCTAACTATTCTACAATAAGTATGCCTTGCTCTCCCAGTTTAAAAAAATGCTATTTTAACTTGTTTTAAGTAGAAAGAGAGAGGAGTTTCCCATGATGCACTCAAGAGGTTGCTCTGTTCGTCACTGTCTGCACCATTGCTCTTTCCCACGGCACCCCCAGGAGACCGCTGCTGGGCACGGCTCTCGGTGGGTTAGGAGGTGGGGACAGCTGTGGCCCGGGAGCAGTCAGCCTCCCGACTATAGCGGACATTAGTCCCTGATGGTCCTTGATATTCTCTGCACCTTGGCCAGGTGTGAAGGCCACCTGCGTCTGCTCCGCTGGGCTGCTCCTTCTCTTGTTCCTCTGTTGCTGGGGCCCCCTTCTCCCTCTGGGGAATGCTGGGGCTGTCTCCCCACCCTTCACTTCCCGTCTCCAGTGTGGGGGACACGTAGCTTCAGTTTCCTCAAATCCAGGTTCTGTCAGAGTCTGGGAGCCCCTTCTCCCTACAGATGCTTCGTTACTTTAAGACACAGACTACCTGGGTGTACTCTGCTCGTGGCTGGAAGATGCCCTTTCCTTATATTATAGAGGAGAATACTTTTTGAAAAAATTTTTTTTTTAGAGATAGTTCTCATTCTGTCAACCAGGCAGGAGTGCAGTGGCACAATCATAGCTCACTGTAACCTCAAATTCCTGGGCTCAAGTGATCCTCCTACCTCAGCCACCCAAAGAGCTGGGATTATAGGCATGAGCCATTACACTCAGCCTAGAGGAAAATACTTAAAACAAACAAACAAACAAACAAAGCATTTGGCCAGCCAGAGATTGTAAACCATCATGCAGCTGAACACTGTCCTTTGCAATCAAAAAATACCATAGCAAAAACAGAATTTGAATGACTTCTTATTCAAACATTTTATTCATCTTGAATGCTGGTATTGAAGCTGGTATTAGAAGGTAGGGAGGGAAAGGATACATTTTGATAACAAATTTGAAGAAGTTCCAGAATTTTGGATGTTAATCCCACTTGCCCATTATTGGGTCTAATTTTACTTAATATTAAAATATTTGGGGGCCACGTGTGGTGGCTCACGCCTGTAATACCAGCACTTTGGGAGGCCGAGGCAGGAGAATCGCTTGAGGCCAGGAGCTTGATACCAGCCTGGGCAATATAGCAAGACCCCGTGTCTACAAAAATTCAAAAACTAGCCAGTCATGGCAGCCTGCACCTTTAGTCCTAACTACTTGGGAGGCTGAGGCAGGAGGATCGTTTGAGTCCAGGAGTTGGAGGTTGCAGTGAGTTATCATGATGCCACTGCACTCCAGCCTGGGTGACAGTGAGACTCTGTCTCAAAAAAAAAACGTGTGGGTTTTCTTATTCTTGACCCAAGAGTTCTGTGCTGCTCTGCTGCTTACTGGCCATGCGGAGCGTGCGTGCATGTGGGTGTACGTTCCCCAGCTCCCGCAGGCTCACAGAGAGAATGGAGAGAGAGGAAGAGAAAATATTTCCACGGGTAACAGAAAACCCTGGGGAAAGGAAAAGGAGAGGAAAGATTGAGCCTCACACACTGGCAGGTGAAGAACTGGACAGTCTTTAGTGGGGAGGGAGGGACACTTACTTGCGTGGTGGGAGGTGGCGGCACTTTCTCGAAGGTCTCTTGAAAGGAGCGGAGCTGGTTACTGGTCTGGCCTAGGGCGTCCTCCACCAGCTTCCTGAAGGCCGGCTCGGAGAAATGGTGGTGGGGCAGCTAGGTGGCGACAGGCACTGTCAAGAGAGCCCTCTTTGGGAGAGAGGGGACAGGGAGACCTGGCCGCCCACACTCTAGCCCCTGGTGTGTTCAGATGCACCTTTTTGTCACGCTCAGCTATTGCTTTGTCTGTCCCCTGGCCTGCTCTCCTTTAAGAAAGTATCCCTCTATGAGGGTCAGTAGCATTGCCCATCATGGTGCTGGAGCCACAAGTCTGGTGGTCTGGGCTCCTTCCTCCCACCTACAGTGATGGGTCCACGGCATGGACAACGGACTGAGCAAGGCATCCTCCACCAGATTTAGTGTGTGAAGGCTGGGAATGAGAAGGTTTCTCTTCCTTTGGATTATGGGATGTGACGGTATATGCTTGGAGTTGTCTGTAGTCCTCTCTGCCACCTGCCTGAGAATAAAGCCAACCCAAGGCAGGAAAAGCCCACAGTCCCAGCCCTCCTGCCAGAGGAGAGACACCCTCACGGATGCCAGCAGCCGACGCAGGCTCTGGGAGGGGTCAGCAGAAACGCATTCTCAGGGCTGCCGGAGGGTGGAGGGTGCCGAGAAGGATTCTCCCACCCAGGGCACAGGGAATCCTGAGAGCCTTGTTGACAGACTCATTCATCTGTCACCTATTTGGGAAGCTCCTACTATAGCCGGACACCAGGAAAGGCCTGGGTTATGAAAGGGGCCTTCCAGGCAAGGAAGGGCCTGTGCGAAGGGAACGTAGCCATGTGCTGCAGGGGAGGGCTGCAGGCATGGAGTGGGGCTGTGGGTGGGAAAGGTGACAGGTGGGGAAGGCAAATCTCAGAGGAATTTTCATGCAAACAATCGGATGGGGAAAGCTGAGCTGGGGACTGTGAAACGCAGGAGACAGCATGTGGCATGAGGAGTATTGAAATTGCTCCCAAGGTCGGAACTACGAGCCACTCAGCTCTGATGTTGACATTAGAGAGCAAGATCTGGAAGCAGCTGGGCATTCTTTCCTGTATCAACTCCAGGCTTCAAATTCCAGAATCCAAGTTTGCATTGGAGGTTTGTCCAATTTGGAACCATTTGTCCATTTGGAACCTATTAATGCTATCAGCCGACAGCTCCTTTCACAGGCTCTTGAACGTTGTGGTTCAGAGCCCAGGCTCTAGAGTTGAACTGAGAGAGTTCAAAACTTGCTATTAGCTGTGCAGCCACAGGGAAGCTCCTTAACCTCTCTGTGCCTCGGCTTCTTTATTTTTGAAATGAGGATAATAATAACTCCTACTCTGTATGGTTGTGAGGATGAAATGAGACAATGCATGGAAAGTGCTCCAAACAGGTATACAATGAGGACTCACGAGAAGTAGCTGCTAGAAGTAGTAATAGTAGTAGTAACAGCAGCTTGAGACATTTACTCCTGACTGTGTAGAGGGACTTTCTGTCTCTGTCACCAACTTCTAATATATTCCAGGGACTGGTCGCAACTTCTGTTATTTTCCCAGTAAAACAACTTCTGCTTCTGAGTCGTAGTCTGATCGTTGCTTTCATGGTCTGACTCCAGTAATGGAGGGAGAATAGGCACGAGAGAGAGCTAGAAGGCCTCCACTGCCTCGTCCTAGGTGCTGATGGCCTGTTTGGAAGGTTCCACCTCCCTCCCTCCCAGCCCCTGCAAACAGCTGGCTGAAGGGGCTGCAAGGCCTGGCCCGGCTGTTCCCCGGAGGCACCCCAGTCCCAGCGGCCTTACCTGGGCCATGCTGCCCTCTGCCCTCTGCAGCACCTGCTTTGCGAGATCCCTCTGGAGGGCCACGAACGTGCACAGGATCTGGCCCAGCCACTGCATGACCAGCTGGTTAAACTGTGGGAGCTCGGCCACCAGCAGGGAGTTGAGCGCCTGGTACGTGTGCCGGGTGGCCTCCTCCTCGTAGGTCACGCTGCCCACCTCCAGCAGCTTCTCTTCCACCCGCTCGAAGTCCAGGAGTTTGTCCAGACGCTTCTTGATTAGGTTCCGAGGGCCGACGAGGGCTCTGGCCAGGCTGCACAGCGGCCGCCACACCAGGCCCTCCAGTCGCTGCTTCTGCGGGGAGGGATGAGCTTGGGAGCTGGGAAAGGAGGTGGCAGAGGGCAGGGGCTGGGAGAAGGGGATCTGGAGGCAGGCAGGCCTGGATTCCAGTCCCACCTCCGTCGGCTAGCTGTGGCCTTTGGCATGTTACCTAACTTCTCTGGGCCTCAATCTGCCCATCTGAAAAATGGGGACAATGGAAGAAATGAGCTTAACTGAGTGCCTGGCATGGACGGGCCTTCGGTACATGTCACCTGTTAGTATCATTACCATGTAAAGATCTTGAAGAAGATTTTGTCCAGAGTGATGGTCAAGAGCACAGTCTTTGTGCTCAGATCGAAGTTTGTCACTGACCATCTGTATAGATAACCCCAGAGGTCGCCCTCAGTGAGCCTCAGCTCCCATCTGCAGAATGGGGCTATTAATAGTATCTACCCCCAAAGCCATGAGGTGAGGATTAAATGAGGCAAAGAGAGTAAAGGGCTTAGCACAGTGCCTGGCACACAGGGAAGCTCACTAAACATCAGCTGGGCTGTTTTTATCAGGAAAATGCACTAATAATAATCTCTATGCTCCTGACCACCCAGGTGGTTATGGATGTGACAATTGTGTACAGTGCCTGACTTCTAAACATTATTCTTGTAGGCTCTGCCACCTATAGAGGCTCCAAGAAAGAAAGGAGAAAGAAGTTCCACTCACAAACTTCAGGAAGGCTCTGAGCTGAAGGTCTCTGGCCAGGTTGCAATACTGCACCACGGGCCCCCCGGGGATGTCCAGGTTGCATTCGTGTGGCCTGCATCCGAGGAAAGCCTGGGCCCAGGACCAAGGGGAGACATCCAATCACGGCCTGTTGCGGCCGTCTTATGCCTGAATCCCCCTCCTCCGTACCCCCCAAAGAGGTTGTCCAGGCTCTCTACCCGCCCCTGTGACAGGAACACACACAGCCCATTCTATCCTTGCACAACGTGAGTGATTAGAAAGTCCTTCCTTACACGGAGCCAACATCTTTCTCCCTCTTCCAGCGCTTCCTCAACTGAACACATGTGCATATCACCTTTGGGATTTTTTTTTTTGGCATGTCCATATTCCACGTGTTCTATGAATACTTGTCTCTAAACCAGCTGACCGTTCCTATATTTAAATAGGGAATCCATTCTTTAAAAAAAAATCAAAACCACCTTGTGATGCTACCATAAAAGGAAAACCAGTAATAATTGTCACAGACATCTACAAATAAGTGCTCTAAAAACCAAAAAATGTTCTTAAATTCTACTGTCTGGCTATCATCGCCTGCCGAAGACCCCCAGCCTGAGACTCGTTCTGCATGTGTTAAAAGACAGACCAGCAAAGAGGCTTTTCCTCGACTCAGAGGATTAAAAGAGGGAGTCCTTCTCTCACCGCGGGACTCTGTGGTAGCGCCGTATCTGTTGTGTAAGTCCTGCGTCTACGGAAATGCAGCTCTAATGCTTCCAAATATTCATCCTGCCCGGCAAAGCCAGATGTCTGTCTCCTGTCCGTCTGGTTTATCCCCCTCAAGGCCCAACACCCACCGGCCCCTCCCCCCCTTCCCCATGACTTGGCTGCCTGCGTCCTCCCCTCCGGCTCTCTGTGCTATAACTGGATCCTGCCACCCGGGAGGCCCAGGACGGAACACGAACAAGCAGCGGCATCGCCCCACACGGAGGAGCGTGGAACAGCGACCGCCTTCCTTTCACGTATTCCCAGTGATGCCACTCCAAATCCCTTTATCCAAAGAGCCCATTATCATCTCTGACCCAGCCGGTTTGCGCAAATGGACGTGACTGGGAACAAAACCACGTACGGAGGCAGAGTGGATGGAATGAGTCACCACTGATGACGAGATGAGGGGACATCTGGGCTTGAGGAGAGTGGCACGCTGGAGGCCCATGCATACTGATGGCCCCGGGGGCTGAATTCAGTTTGTAGAGATATATTTCCTTGGGCCTGTTATGGCATTTAAATCTTTATTTGAGTCGTTGCTCACATGGACACGTCAGCAGATTTCGCCTAAAAATCTGAATTTCCAGGGTTTCTAAAAGATTAAAATCAGAAATACTGGCCACGCTGGGCCCACATTCCTTCACAGCAGTGAGCCCCCAGAGCTGAGAACGCGCTGCTCCTTTAGATCTTATTCATACGTGCGTTCAATCAGCCATTCAAATTCCAAATATTATCTTATATTTAAGTCTACTGAAAAAGGCTTATAAACAACACTTGGCTTCTACCGCATGGGATTGCCTACTACCTGCACACTTCACTCGATAATATGACTGCAGGCACCTGAGTGTCTCCCCTGCTCTAGGTGCTGGTCTGGCAGGGTCCCTCTAGAGGGCTCTGACACCAGTGAATGCTGACCCTGCCCAGCAGGAACCCCAGTGGGCTCAGAAGCTGCCCGCCGGGGCTGAGGGGTGCTTGCCAGATGACCTCATCCGTTTGTTTCCAGCAACTGGTGCCTTTGCCAGCTTGTAGGCTGGGCCCCACATGCCTGCTACACGGGGAACCCAGCCCAGACTTGCCCACCATTGACTCTGCAGGGTCCTCACCTCCAGATTATCCAGGTACACAGCCACGTTGCTCCTCAGCTCAGTCACACACAGAGACACCCACTGGAACTTCTCTTCTAAATCATCAAATTCCTTGTCTTCTGTCTGAAAGTAAAGCTATGGGTGTGAAGGCTGGGAAGATCCACATGGGGGCAGTGTACACCAGCGGCCGTGTCCCAAGTCCTCCCTGGGGACGACCTTTCCACGGGCCCACGAGAGCCAGTTCTAACAGCCTCAGGGCTGGGTGGGACAGTCAGAAAGCAGTGTAGCTCGGTGGATTTGCACTCAGCCCGTGGAATCAGACACACGAGCATGAGAGTCCTGGTTCACTTCGCTTCCTAGCTGTGTGACTCTGGGCAAGTGTTTTATCTGCTCTGAGCCTCTGTTTTCTCATCTGCAAAATGGGGATGATAAACACCTGCTTCATTGTGTGGATGAAATGATGCTTGGTTCAGAGTAAGCACTCAATCAGCCTCAGCTGCTACCAGTAGCAACTGGAGGCTGGTTCTTTGCTCAGACACAGTAGACCAGCTCTCCTATCTGTGTAAAGAGGCCCTGGAGAAAGAGTGGCCGAAGGCTCAGTGGGGAAGCCCTGCACTGGCTCTGCGGAATCAGGTGGGGGTGCCAACTTTGCCCCCCAGCCCCGGCCCCTCGCTCTCTCGGCCTCAGTTGCCTCACTTCTGCAAAGAGCCCAAGCTTCCTGTCCTACCCACGGCACAGGGGCTGGCCCCTTGGGACTGCTTGGGGTGTGACTTTTCCTCCCAGGTCCCCACTCACTCTGGGCACCAGCCCCGCCTCCTGCTTCAGCAGCTGGCTCAGCCGGGTGGTCTTCTTGGAGAGGGTGTGCGTGTTGATGCGGGCCAGCCGCTCCCGGAGGCTCAGATGCTCCACCCTGGTGTATTTGGAGGCTGCACCGACAGAGAAGAGGGGGAGCCCGTGACCAAAGCTGACCTAGGAGAGCAAGCGTCACTGACACGCCGGGCCCCCTGCTCCCCCAGGGTCACATCCGCGAGAACGGGGAGTCGTGCAGGAAAAGCACAGGGTCCTCCATCTGAGGTGTGAGCCCTGGCGGAAGAGCTTCCTGCCTGCTTAAGTTTGGCAAGTCATTACTTCCTGGGGCCTCAGTTTCCTCATCTGTAAAATGGGGTGAGCCACCTCATAGGATTGCTAGGACGGTCACATATTAGAGCAGGTCGGAATGGACTTCCTAAAGAAGAAGGCAGGGGCCGGGCGCGGGGGCTCACGCCTGTAATCTTAGCTCTCCGGGAGGCCGAGGCGGGCGGATTGTTTGAGCTCAGGAGTTCGAAACCAGCCTGAGCAAGAGCGAGACCCCGTCTCTACTAAAATTAGAAAGAAATTAATCGGACAACTAAAAATATATAGAAAAAATTAGCCAGGCATGGTGGCGCGTGTCTGTAGTCCCAGCTACTCGGGAGGCTGAGGCAGGAGGATCACTTGAGCCCAGGAGTTTGAGGTTGCCGTGAGCTAGGCTGACACCACGGCACTCTAGCCCAGGCAACAGAGTGAGACTCTGTCTCAAAAAAAAAAAAAAAAGAAGAAGAAGAAGGCAGGGAGGGGCCATTTGCCCGGGGTCCCCCTGCCAGGCTCAGCCAGGCCAGCCGGGAGCCACACTTCCCGCTCCTGACTCAGTGCTTCCTACCGATCTGTCGCCTCTTGACCTGGACGGAGAAGCCAGTGGGGAGGAAATCCGAAGCTACCGAATGTAGCACAGCATGGTGGTGGAGACTCCAGGCCTGGGTTTAAAACTTGGCTCTGTCCCTCACCAGCTCTGTGACCGGGAACAAATGATGCAAGCTCTCACTCTACCTGACTGTGAAATGGGGCTAAGAGGGCCAGCCCCAGAGGGCTAGAGCAAGGGTCAAATATGATCACGAAGGAAAAAACATAGCAGGTAGCCCGTAGTAAACATTAGCTAAATTATCATTTTTATATTGCCTCAGTTGTGCGATTGAGTTTCTCCATACTTGGGACACAGCTCTATTTCCCAAACTTTTCTGTTTTAACAACCTGAGAGGCCAGGATTTCCCCCACCCCTCCAGATGTATGCCTCCCCAGGACTGTTTCTCCTTCACAGTGGAGCAGCCACGCGATTTGGACGGGACTGTCCTCGCTTTGACTCGAGCGGTGGCTGCCGATTGGTATAAACCAATCCATATAATCCCATCCCCCTGGCAACAGTGATTGGTTCAGAGAAGGACACATAACCCTGTCCTAAGCCAATCAGATCATGGCACCCCAACTATGGTGATTGGTTCAGGATGAGCACATGACCCAAGTGGATCCTATCAGAGTGAAGCTTCAATTTAATTTTGGTGGCTAAGGGGAGAAAAACCCTGTCTTACCCTGGAAAGTGTGGTGTGCAGATATGAGTCCTGGAACAGCAATAGCCACTTACTATTATGAAGGAAGCCAGGCTAAAGATAAAGCTGATACACAGTAAAGAGCAAAGATAAGAGAGTTACAGGGAAATGAAACAGCTCCCTGATCAAACCCTACCTAAAGCTCACATTGCCTCTGGATTTATAGTTACACAAGCCACTACATTCTCTTTATTGGTGAAGTCAGCTTGAGATGAGTTTTCTGTAACTGGAAGCATTCTCACTGATGTAGCCCCTAAATGCCCCAAGCCTTACCCACTTCCTTGCGCATCTTGTACTCGTTAATGTTGACGTTCACGTCCTGGAGGGCAGAGGTAGCCCTCTGAAGGACGGGGTGGGCACTGGCATCAGGGGGTGTGTTCTCCAGGATTTTCTGCAGCAGCAATGGGTACTTGGTAATCCTCTGCAGAGGGGTTACCAGTAAGAAAGTGAGGCCTGAAGATCCAGCTTGTGGCCTAAGGGAGAAGGCTGGTATTAGGCAGGTAAAGCCCACCCTTCGGGGCACCAGGGGGCCTGGGCTCTAGTCCTGGCTCTGCCATTTAACTTACTGTGCTCTTAGGCAATTCACCCTCCCTCTATGGTCCTCAGTTTCCTCATCTGTAGTTTGTGAGGTCTAGATGTTAGGTGGGCAATGCCAGTTCTGGGCCTTGGTTCCCCATCTGTCCCAAATCCAGTGGTTGGTTCTCTATACTCCGCTTACTCGGCCTCTCAATAGCAGACATGGCTGACCATTGCCCTCTTTCTCTCTTTTTCTTTTTTTTTTTTAAGACAGGGTCTTGCTCTGTCATCCGGGCACTCCTGGGCCCAAGCAATCCTCCTGCCTCAGCCTCCCAAGTAGCTGGGACTACAGGCGCCCAGTAGTCCCAGGTGGTCTCCCATCCAAGTACCAACCAGGCCCAACCCTGCTTAGCTTCCGAGATCGGAGATCAGGCACGTTCAGGGTGGTATGGCCATAGACCTCTTTCTTGAAACACTTTCTTCTTTTGGCCCCAGGGACACCCACTCTCCTGCTTCTCACACTCTGCAGGCTGCTCTGTCAGTTTCCTCTGCTGTTTCTCCCCAGTGCCAGAGTGTCCTGGGGCTTCCTCTCCTCCCTCTCTCCCCACATGGCTTTAAACACATCCCAAACCCAGCTCTCCACCTCCGACTTCTGTCCACAGCTCCAGACTCACACGTTCCACTGCCTACTTGACATCTCCACTTGGGTTATGTCCCAAGCACAACTCTGTATGTTGGGTATCTGCATGATATTCATTTAAATGAAATGGTCTGCTGCTTAAAAAAAGCATTTAAAATCACAGGAACTTAATTTGCAGAGATGCATTTAAAGTATTTAGAGGTAAAAAGTCATCATACCTATAATCTCCTTCAAATAGTTTAGCATAAGAACAGATAAAGCAAATAGCAAAATGTTAACACTTGTTAATTTTAGGTGGTGGGTACATGAGTGTCTGTTATATTATTCTATTTTTCTATAGGTTTGAAATCTTTTATTATAAAAAACTAAAAAAGCAAAACAAAATACTGGAACAAATGGTGCCAAGGTCCCTTCCAGATGCATCATCAATGCCTGGATGACCAGTCCCCTTCTTGAGGCTGTCTGGAATTCCAAGAGTCCCCCAAGTCAATGGCACCTGGGAAGAGGCTCCAACAGTCTTTCCTTGATTACGACCAGTAGCCCGTAGGCCCAGCTTTGGAGAAACCCACAAGGGTTTCCAACATCAACTGTCCAACTGTGCCTCCTCCAAGAAGACTCACAAATCCTGCCCAGGACCATCGTCTGGGCCCTCCCTGATGGTCATCTTGCCTCTTGCTCTTCTTCCTAGGGAAAAATCTCCAGACCAAGTGTCCAGGAATGATCAGCCATGAGGCTAAGAATAGGCAGAGCAGGTGGGAGCCCCTCAGAAGCATCGGGGGTGGGATTACGGTCAGGACATGCCTACGCTGACCGTCTGCTCTCACCACGGGTGTCTTGGAGCTTGGCTGACTGTGGGCAGGGGAGGTGTAAACAGTTGCCAGATATTTGCGAAACTCCATCCTCTGGGCTTACTTTCCATGGGAAAGAGCCAACTGCCTCATGGGGACAACTGTCGCCTCAAAAACCAGAGGGCAAGGGGCCCTTAAAGAGATGATCACATCCCTTCCTCACCTCTCCATCATCAAGGAGTTGCCGCAGAATGATGGCGGCCTCTCACGTCTACGGCCTTGCTAAGGCATGTGGACAAAACTTTTCACATGTCGCCTTTCAGGAGGCAACAGAAACTGAAAGATGGTAACGAGGGCTGCGTGAGTGTGGGGAAAGGGACTTCTTATATTCTCTTGGTGGGAGTATCTCTTGACCACATCTTCTTGGCCACATCTTTGACAATTTGTGAACTGTACAAACGCTTTGCTCCATCAATCCTACTCTAGAAATCTACCCATAGAAATCCCAACTCCCCCTGGCCAGGAGCAATGGCTCATGCCTATAATCTCGCACATCAAGAGGCTGAGACAGGAGGATCCCTTGAGACCAGGAGTTCAAGACCAGCCTGGGCAACACAGCAAGACCCTGTCTCTACAAAAAATTTAAAAATTTGTCAGGTGTGGTGGTGTACATCTTTAGTCCCAGCTACCTGGGAGGCTGAGGCAGGCAATGAATGACTGGAGCCCGGGAATTTGAGGTTGCAATGAGCTATGAAAACACCACTGTACTCTAGTACCACTGTCTGCTAGCGTCTAGCCCAAGCGACAGAGCAAGACGTGTCTCAAAAAAAAAAAAAAAAAAAAAACCAACTCAAGTGAGCCATGATAAAGGTAGAAGTTATTCAGTGACTCTATTTGTGATAGTAAAAAATTAGAAACAACCCAAATATCCATCAATAGAGGAATGGCCATATAAACCATAGTCTAAGAGCTTCCCTGGGAAGGAACTCTGTGCAGGCATTAAAAAGAACACCATAGAACTATTCATACTGTCCTGAAAAGATATTCATGACTATGGTTAAGTGAAAAAGCAAGTTTTAGAACAGCATGTATAGAAGAAGCCCCATAAAAATTCTATCTAGCTAGCTATCTAGCTATGTCTATCCATCCATCCGTCTGTCTACAAATATACAGAAGAAAATCTGGATGGAAAATGTTAACCACTAGGGGGAAGAATGGGGAAACAGAAGATTCAGGGGGAATGGACCTTTATTTTTTTACTTTATACATTGTGTATTGTTTGAAGTTTCTTTTTTTTTCCGTAAGCATATATCGCTTTTATGTTTAAAACAAACACAATTAACTGATGAAGGAAAACAAAGAAGGTGATTTGCCTTCTCCAAACTCTGCTGCCTCAGCCATCATGCTGGGATGGCGGGTGCCTCGTGCCAGACTGATCCACCCGTACAAGGCTGCCTCTTCCACCCCGTCGGCTGTATTGTTAGGACAATCCTACCTAAGGCAGAGCTTCCTGCCCGCTGCAAAGGCGAGTCTTTGATCCTCTTGGCTCTCAGGCGGGAAGGGCTGCCTTAAAAGAATAAACTGAACACTCTATTGAAACAAAGGCTGGGGGGCAGCATGCATTGTGGAATCACAGAGAATCTCAGACAGTGCCATCGATCCTAATGCACTGAGAAAGAACCATTTATGGCTGGTGTGGTGATTTTACTTCGCCAAGCTCTAAAAAGTGACGCTACAGGCATTTAGTGGGCAGGGACCAGGCACCAGGGATGCCCTGCGAGGCCAGTGCTGCGCTGCAGAGAATTCTCCATGTCTCACACGTCCGTCCCTCTGAACATTCAGAGACTGAGCGGAGGCCTTGAAATGTGCTGCGATTTCAAGAACCAAAATATTTTTGTGACACCTGGACTCTATCCAGTCACGTGTCATAACACTCAGAATTACTATGACACTACCTTTCATACCTTTTTTTTTTCTGTCCATCCTAATTTGTCCTAGACAATTCCTTTTATAAATCCCTACTTCAATGACGTCGTTTCCTTGTTTCTGTTATCATACACAAGGAAGTCAGGTTTGTTATTCTGGGGTACCCACGTTCTCTGCTCTTTCATTTTCCTAGACTTTTGTACAGAATGGCTTCAGACTTTCCTTAAGTCCAGACTTACTTATTATAAGTAGATACAGTGCCTGATTGCTTCATTGTATCTTTTAGTGCAGTGTGCCCAAGCATTTGCACATTGAAATAGATATTTTATTAGATATCATTTTCCTTTTATTTTTCCTTTATATTATAGTTAAGCCATTATATTGATTTTTTTCAGTTACATATATAGGTAGGAGATGTATATATATACATATTTTTTCAGGATGTATCTCAGGATAATAAATTTACTTAATGTTTGTTATAAAAAGGGGGCACTGGGACCAATACAATTGAGAACCGCAGGGTGGTCTCAGAAAAACATAATCCCTGCCTAGCCAAGATAACTATATTAGCTGGGTTTACTGAGTGTCACTTGCATGCAATGACTCAGTGCCCCCACGAGGTGCTGGTATCACTCCCGTGTCACACACAAGGGAAGCAGGCTCTGAGACATGAAATGGCTCTCTCGTGGTAAGGGCTGACCAGATACGCCCCCGCATGGCCTGGCTCCAGAGCCCACGAGGAAAGCCCAGCTGGCCCGGCTGGGAAAGACCAGAGTGCAGAGGACGGAACGCACGGCAGCCTCCGTGCCAGCTGGGGCTCCCACACACAGCGCTTCTAAAAAGTCTCAACTAGATGCCAGCACTGAACACTTGGGAGATGTCACAGCTACATTTCTGGCTTCTCTTGAAAAATCAGAGGGTCTGGCCACGGCGGACTCACATGCCTACGTGGTAGTTGAGGCAGACAGGTGGTTTATAAAAAACAGCTGCAGTTTTTCCCCTCCCTGTCTCCGCAACCCTTTGAATGTGACTTTGAAGCTCCTCCCACCAAGAAATGGAGTCTATTTCCCCACCCCTGAGTCTGGGCTGGCCTTAGGACTTGATCGAGCGACAGTATGCCAGTTCCCAGCCAAAGCCGCCAGCTGCCCTCCCCTTTGCCCTCAGAACGCTGTGACCACCACGTGAACAAACTAGCCTGAAGGAAGAGGAGAGACCCTGTGACCAGAGCTGAGTCAGCTCATGTGTCCCAGATACGTGAAAGAGCCCAAACAACATCAGCAAAGCTGACCTGCCAGTGGCTGCAGATACGTCACGGTGCTCAGATAGCACCTGAAGAATCATTTACTAGGCCAGCTAAATTGCTAATGTGCAGAAGCGCGAGCCAAATGTTTGTTTTATGCCGCTATGCTTTGGAGTGGTTTGTTACCTAGCAAAAGCCACTTGACACAGCAACGACCAGCGAAGGCTACGCTGCAGCTGTATACTGCACAGGGTCTGTTCTCTCTGGTTGGCCACAGTCTCCACTACCTCCTTGTGTCCCACATCTGGCACCTTGCTTCCCTCTTTTCTGTAATCCGCCTCGCTTCTGCAGAAACATATTTGTGACCCTTGCAAAAGCCTAAGTTTGCATGACCCGTGAAGAGATGAATCAAAGGGGAAAATGGGTATAGTTTTTTTAGAGGCAGAGAGAGGCTAGGACATGGGTTCTTGTAAAGGAGACTTTGGAGGAAAGGGTGATTAAAAGGTGAGAAAAAGATAAGGGAGAGGAGGAGGGGAGGTGGCAGGAGGCTCCACGTGGGATTATTTTGTCTTCAAAGACCTAGGTCTACACTGTCTTTCTCTTGGATATAATAAGAATGACTGAGTGAGATAAATTAATAATAACGACGATGATGATAATAACCCCTCCTCTTCCTACACTACTCAGATTTCCAGAAAATGACCTTCATCGACCTCCATTTGGTGAGCTTGTCCTGGGGAAGACATAACCCTATTTTTTTCACACCAGGCAGGTAATGGGGTAACAAGGTTTAAGAAAGGCACACCTCTCATATGAGCGTGAAAACCCAATCATCACGCTTATGAACTACAAAAGGATCAAACCCTTTTTATACCAGAAAGAAGCAGAACAAGTCGCAGGAAAGGACATACGCATGACTCCTAACTATACAAAAAGATGACCAACTTTAATCATAATAAGATAAATGCAAAATGAAACCATATTGAGACACCATTTTTCACCTATCCCTGGTGGCAAATATTCTAAAGTTTGATAACACGCTCTGCCAGCGAGGCTGTGTTGCTGCGGGAATGTGAGCTGGCATAGCCTTTACAGAAGGAAGTTTTACAAAGTTTACCAAAGTTTTCAACACATATTTCCTTTGGCCTAGCAATTCTGCTTCTGGAAATTTACCTTACAGATACACTTGCACCAGAGTAAAATGACATATATTCACAAATAATCATTGTAGCACTATTTGTAATACCAAAATAATAGGCCAGGTGCAGTGGCTCACGCCTGTAATCCTAGCACAATGGGAGGCCAAGGCGGGAGGATTGCTTAAGGTCAGGAGTTCAAAATCAGCCTGAGCAAGAGTGAGACCCTGTCTCTACTAAAAATAGAAAAATTAGCCAGGCATGGTGTTGTGCGCCTGTAGTCCCAGCTACTTGGGAGGCTGAGGCAGGTGGATCACTTGAGCCCAGGAGTTTGAGGTTGCTGTGAGCTATGATGATGCCCACTGCACTCGAACCTGGGTGACAGAGAGAGACTCTGTCAAAAAAAAAAAAAAAAAAGAAACAAACCAAATGCCCATCATTAGAGACCAGTTAAATAAACTGTGTAACTACAAGAGTATGTGGCTGTTTAAAACATCATGAATGTTATGTGTTGAAATGGAAAGACCTTTAAGATTGGGAGATATATACATACAGATATAGATATATACACACACATATAAGTAAAATAAAAAAAAGATAGAAACTTTCATTTAAAAGATAGGTAAATAAGAGTATATATTTGTAATTGCTTATATATGCAAAAAGGTACTCTACAAAGATACATAAGAAATGTAAAAGTTGTTACCTTAACATTGGGAGTGGTAAGTGGGTGGGTGAAGAGATAGGGTAGGAAGAATTTTTTATGGTATAAATTCTGATGTTTTGTTATTTTGTTTTGTTTCTTTCTTTTTACCTGTCTATTGGGCAAAAAATTCTGATGTTTTAAAGTTTTTGAATCATGTAACTATGTTATTCATTCAAAAATTTAAATTTAAAAAAGTGTTCCCTACATTTCTCTACCTGGAGCTTCCACCCACTGGTGCCAGCTCGAGGCTGTGAGTCCACTGGGGCTGTTCTGATCCTTTTCCCTGTGGCAAGACTTTAGCCAACTGTAGAGAGGGCTCCTCAGGTGATACACACCTGCTTCCCATCACTGTTACTCACGACACACGGCTCCCGCTACCTCACTGTCCTTCCCTGCGCTAGTCGTGAGTGCTGTTCACCAAATGTTTCTGCTTCTCCGCCTCTGGACACATGGTGGGATGGCACACCATGCCTCCTGGTATCTGGATGAAGCTGTGATTAGTCCTGGCCAATGAATTATGAAAAGCAATGGGTATCATTTCTGGAACCGAGCATTTAATTACCAGTGTTAGACTCTCCAGAGCTCTTTTTTTCTGTGCCACAGTTACTGGCAAGATTCCAGACAGTGGGTGCTGTGAGCTTGGGTCCTGGAGTGAGAATAACGAAGGGCAGGGCCCCAAGTCAGCCCACGATGGAGCATAATGAAGACGTAAAGCTTTGTCGCTTGGAACCACTGAGATGTGGGAGCTGTTTGTCTCTGCAGCACGGCCTGCCCCATCCTGACTGACGCAGGCACTGTTGGTGCTACACACCCGGAGCAGTGTGAGCAACACCACGTAGGGGTGACACTGTAACTGCCCCTGACCCCACGGCAGTGGGGCAGAAGCGAGTGCCCACTGGCCATTCTACTCACACCACTGCCTCGATGATGCCCTGGATCTCCCGCTGCAGCTCTGGCTCCTTCCGGTAAGCCTCCACCAGCAGCAAGGCCTGCTCGTAGCTGACACAGTAGACCTTGTAGACCTGCTCCAACTCCTCTTGGAATTCCAGGAATAAGTTACCTGAGGGTGAACATACAACAAGCAGTTGTGAGCAAGAATGACATGCCAACTCGTGAGGTGTTCCATATGTTCAAGTCAGAAATGAAGGAGACTCGTTACCTATAAGGGTGGATGGGACAGGGTGGGGAGGACGACCTCCTGGTCGAGCATAGTGGGAACGAGAGGGGAGCCATGCTTTGCTGAAAATACCTTTCTACGTAGTTCCGACTCTTGGCGCCACAGTGATGCTCTGCATGCTCCCAAAATAAATATACTGTTAAGATCAACCAGGATGAGGAGCAGGAACCCCAAATAGAATACAAACAGTAAGGAATAAGCCTGACTCTATTACAAATGAATAGCATCACCGCACGGAAGGGAGTGAGGAAGAAACTGACTTAAGGAACTGCTTTTCACAGGAATACAAACCAGTAAACTCTGAAACTTCTTCACCTGTATGCTAACTCTGAACAGGTAAGTAAATATATTGTGGATAATGACGGCTAGGCTTCTCCTGTCAGAGAAAATGTTACAAACAAGAGAAGGGGACGGCTAGACTGAAAGCTGCGATGCTGGATTGGAATTGGAGCTATCAATATATGCACAGATGGATAGCGCTAGAAAGAAAGGCAGATGTGTTAGTATAGATACGTGTATTTCCTAGCTCTGTTAGCTGAAAGCCAGCGATCATTGTTGCAGGTAAGAACTACTGAGGAATTTTAAAATTAGTGGACTAAAGTTTGAGACAAAAAACCAGGACATTTACATAACATCAAAGTTTCTTTCCACAAGATTGTCATTCATTACAAAGGGGAAAATAGTAACTTGACAGTGTAAAAACCCAGATGCCACCTTTGCTATGTGATCAAAGTGAACATTACTCTAAGTACTAGGACAGAGTGACATCATGTGCCCCGATACGGTGCACTGGGAAGGACATGACATAGCGCCTGTGGTATTCTTGCCGAAAATGCATAACCTCAATTGAATATGAAAATAATTTTAATTTCATAAGTTGTATAAAATTGTAAAACACATAAACGTTATATTTTATAAAATACAAATTATAAAATATGTTTTATTTATAAAATTTTATGAAATACCTAAATAATTCTGATCTTAATGAAAAACCTCAAACTGAGGAATATTCTACAAAATATCTAGGCTAGACTCTTCAGAATTGTTATAGTCATGAAAAATAAAGACTGGAGAACTGTCACAGACTGAAAAAGACGAAGGGAACATGACAATAAAATGAAATTTGCTATCCTGGATTGGATCCTGGGCCAGAAAAAAGACATTAATAGGAAAACTAATGAAATTTGAATAAGGTCTAGAGAGTAGTTAATAGTACTGCATTGGTGTTAACCTCCAGGTGTCCATAATTATACTATGGATATGTGAGATGTTAAAATTAGGGGAAGCTGGATGAAGGGTAGACAGGGGCTCTCTGCATTTTTTGCAACTTTTTCGTTAAGACCACAATTATTTCAAAATAAAAAAGTTTAAAAAGAACCTTGAAAACATTATGCTAAGTGAAATAAAGCAGACACAAAAGGATAAATATTGTATGATTCCATTTATATGAGGTGCCTAGAATAGTCATATTCCTAAAGACAGAAATGGAATCCTGGTTACCGGAGGCAGGTTATTGTCTAATGGCAGAGATTTACTTTAGGGTGACGAAAAAGTTCTGGAGATGGCAAGTGGTGACGGTGGCATGACAATCTGCATGCACTGCATGCCACTGAACTGTACACTTAAAAATGGCTAAAATGGCAAATTTTGTGTTATGTATATTTTACCACGATAAAAAAAGCCCTTAAAAAGATCAAAAACCTGCACACGAAGGTTTACAGCAGCTTTATCCATATTGCTAAAACTTGAAAGCAATCAAAATGTCCTTCAATAGGTGAATGGATAAATAAACTGTGCTTTTTCCATACAGTAGGATATTTTTCAGTGACTAAAAAATGAAATGAGCTATCAACCCACAAAAAGACATGGAGGAAGCTTAAATGGATATTGCCAGATGAAAGAAATCCCTCTGAAAGGCTGTATGCTGTATGATTTCAACTACACGACATTCTGCAAAAGGCAAAACTGTAGAGACAGGAGAAAGATCGGTGGTTGCCAGGGAATGGGAGGGAGGGATGGACAGACAGAGCACAGGGGATTTTCAGAGCAGGGAAACCATCACGTATGATACTGTGATGGTGGATACATGACAGACATAGGTCTAAACCCACGGAACTACACAACTCAAAGTGTGAACCCTAATGGAAACTATGGACTTCAGTTAATCATAATATATCAATATTCATTCGTCAATTATAATAAATGGGCCACACCAGTGCAAGATGTTAATAATAGTGTAAACTCTGCGGGGGGAAAGGAGTGTACATGGTAGTTCTCTGTGCTTTTGTTTCAAAGACTGCTCAAGTGCAGTAGTGAGAAGGGGGAAAGAGCAGAACAAGCAGTTTGACCTTAATTGACTGTGAACAATCAACTGAGTTAACTCACTACCTTCTGACCAGGCTCTCCGTACTTTTAACTTAATTCTTCTATAAACCTAAAAGTGCTCCAAAAAATAAAGCCTACTGATTTTTTTTTAAAAAGATAAATACCATGTTGAGACGAAACTAGAGGACAAAGGAGTAGCAGGAATAGCTGTGAGAACCTATCAGAAACACCCAGGCAAGAGTAGTTGGTGTCCCTTCCAGGGAGGAAGTGGCGAGGGTGAAGAGAAATGTAGTAACCGGAACAGGGCAGGTAGGGAGCCAGGGACCCCAGGAAACCCAGCCACCCCTACTGCCGGCCAAAGCCATGAGCTGACCTCGACCTGGACCAGGGCTTTCTTGGGACACATCAGGTGGTGCCTGGAGGAGCATGGTCCCGCTCTCAGCAAAGATCTCCATGGCAAGGTTATCACCCCGGGACCAACCCCTGACCCAGTGCTGGTGCAGCCAATCCTCAGAGGGGACTCCCAGGAGAAGCCGCTAGAGCCAGGGAGAACATGACAGCTAGGGAGAATGTGTGTGAGAGATCAGCCAACTGCAGAAACGACCCTGCTAGGAGATAGCCTGGGTGTGGCCGTGAAACCCAGGGCTGTCCCCACATTCTCCTCAACACGGGCGTGTCTTCAGGAACACAACAAACAAGTCAAAGATACTGTATCATATCAGTGTGTCCAGGGGCAAGGGTGTTTCAGTAACTGAAGGCAAACTCCCAGAGAGCAGAGTTGTCCAAAGAGGCAGAAATATCTGGAACACCAAAGTAAAAGCTTATGTCTCCTGACTTATCCTTCTACGGTCACAGATTAGCAAAGAAGTTAACTCCCAGCATCAAAAGGACACTCTACCTAGCTGGGATTTGTCAGAATGGAGAGAAAGGAAGGCACAATGATAAAGAGCTGGGTTCAAATACACACTGTGTGACCTTGAGAAAGTTACTTAACCTCTCTGAGCCTTGGGTTTTGCTTTAGTAATTTCTTTGGCAATTTTCTATGGTGATAATAATAATAATCAACAAGTAACAATGTTGTGAGAATGAAAATGGCTACTTCGTGTTAAGTACTCTGCCCTACACCAACACAGAGATGGGTACTATTTTCACGCTCCTTTCAAAGAGGCAGTAACTGGGGTTCAGAGCCGGGAAGGAGCTTATGGGTGGCAGGGCCTTGTCATTCAGACTCCAAAGCCCCTGTTCTAAGCACTTGACCTGCTGTGCCCAAATACAGCAGTCACCAGCCATACACGGGGCACTTGAAATATGGCAAACCCCCATGAGATGTGCCATCAGTGAAAAAGACACTGGACTTCAAAGACTTCGTACAAAAGTAAAATAGCTAATGAATAATTTTTATACTGATCACCTGTTGAAATATTATTCTGGATTTATTGGATTAAATTGAAGATATTAAAATGAATTTCACCTGCATCTTTAATTTTCTTAATGTAGCTACTTGATAATTTTAAATTAAATTTGCAGCTCACGTAACATTTCTATTGGCCAGCGCTGCCTTAGACCATGGGGCCTTCTGGCGATACAACCCGGCGCGGGAACACCTGTGAATGCCCAAGTGGTGTTTGGAATTGTTCATAGAGACAAGGAACCTGACTCATTTGGGAGGAAAAAGGTCTGTGAGAAACAGTCTTGCGTGAGGTCCAAAAGTCTTTCGAAATGCTGTTGCTGGCCAACTGGGCGAAGGGCTTTCCTTGCATAGCAAGGCCTGGCGGCTGGAAGGGGTAGAGAGAGAGCTGGCAGGACCCAGAGCGGCCTGACCTGGCGCAGAGTTGCACCAAGGAGAAGAAAAGCCATGTGGGCTATTTGTGCCTCTTTTTGGCTAAACACAAGGGACGAAGGATGAGGAGGGTATTTTCTGAAGACTGTAAAGGCCAGAAAACTGCCAAATTTGGGGTCAGCAGAGCAGAGGATGTTAAATTTGAATTTCAGATAAACAAGGAATCGTTTTTAATATAAGTATATAAAAATTTCGTGTAAGCATACTAAAAAATGACTCCTTGTTTATCTGAAATTCACATTTAACTGGACATCTTATATTTTATCGGGAAACCGTACCAGAGAAGCGATCAGGGCAGCCAAGGGAGATGTCACCAGGTGTGCTCAGGAGACAAAGTTACATCTCCATTCTGTGGGTGCAGCAGGAAGGCACAGACTGGCAAGTGAGGACCCTCACAAGGAACCACGTTGACCCTTGGACACACAGCAGCAGAAGAGCCTGACCTCAGAGTCCCCAGGCGTCTCTTGTCGCTGCCGTGCACACAGCATGATGACGACACACTGCAGGAGCTCGGGAGATAACTGTAGAATGAATGAATGTGAAAGAGACCCAGACTAAAGACTCGCTGTGCCACTAAGAAGTATGTGACCGTGAGGACGCCCCTCCCTGTCTCTGGGACTCAGTCTCTGTAAAGCGATACGATTGGACTCAATATTACTTGAAGGCCCTGCTGGCTCTGAGATGTCGTGTTCAGAGATCCCAAAAATAGACTCCCATTGAGCTGCATTTTGCTGGAACTCTGGAGACAGTTCAGCCATGACCACATGCTGACAACAATTCCACAGGAATCTAAGGCCGACAACTCCCTAGGTCTCTTGCTTACCAATTAGGGACACTTGTTCCTCTTCCTTGGAGGCTGTCTCTTGCAAGTCATGCAGAAGTCTGCCGTTAACCTCAATGATATCATCGATGTTTGAGAATAGGACGTCCACATCTCCCTGCGGCAACTGGAAGGAACAAAGAAGCTTGGAGGTCACTGGGAGTTCCACGAACTGACTGTATCTGCAGGCTCTGCAGAGCACTCACACCATCAGGGGCCCAGTGGCATTTTTGCAAGGGTTTTGAAATTGTATAAATTAGGTATTTTCATTACTCTACAAGAAGAGAGTAAGAGATAGAGTACTCAGCATGGAAGGAAAGCTGAACTAGGTTTTATCCTAGGTCTGCTGCCAACTACCATTTTTCTTTTCTTAGTTTTCCCATCTGTCATCCGAGGGTGGGAAATTAGACTTCCTTCCAGCTCTGACATACTTGGGGCCTAACACCATAACCTCAAGATGCATTCCAGGCCGGGTGTGTGGCTCAAGCCTGTAATCCTAGCACTCTGGGAGGCCACGGCGGGAGGATCGCTTGAGCTCAGGAGCTCGAGACCAGCCTGAGCAAGAGCCAGATCCTGTCTCTGCTAAAAATAGAAAAATTAGCTGGGCATCATGGTGCACACCTGTAGTCCCAGCTACTCGGGAGACTGAGGCAGGAGGATCGCTTGAGCCCAGGAGTTTGAGGTTGCAGGGAGCTACAATGACCTCACTGCACTCTATCTGGAGTGACAGAATGAGACTCCAAAAAAAAGAGATGCATTCTAAACTCCAGCCCCTATAAACAAGGCTATACCACTGTAAAAAATAAGCAGGACATATACATATATATATATTCGAGGGCATGGAAAGATGTGCTGTTGCACACTGAAGTGGGAACGCTAACTGCAGAACAATATCTAGAGTACGCTCTCATTTTTGTTAAAATAAATAACAATATATGTCTGTTTAATGCCTATGGAGAAAAATCCTAATTTATGGAGGGTGAAAAAAACGATGTCCTTTGCCTTCTAAATTATCTATTTCAGATTTCACTCATTCAAGAAATAGTAATTGAAAGTCCATTATTTATGTGTCAAGACTGGGATACAGTGAACTAACAACAGAACCTGTGCCCTTACGGAGCTCACATGCTAGCGGATGCTTGAAATTTTATAGCGAGCGCCTGTATTATTTCTGAAACCAGAAAAAAAAAAAAGATGTAAAAAATGAACACCATAATAGAAACCCATCGTAGTGATAATTTCTCCACGTCGCCACCCTGTTAATGAGACCATTAGAATGTAGGTCAGTGTTAGCAGTCTGTTCTAAACTTGAAAAGGGCTTGTCATTAGCTCATTTAATTCTCGGAGGTGATTATTCCTCTCCCCACATAGCCGAGGAATACACTAAGACTCTGAGCCATAAAGGCCTTGCTAAAGGTGGCGTGGCCAATAAATGGAAGCACGGGGGCTTAATCCAGGCCTGTTGGACTCCACATCCACCATGCTTCCTTTCCATCAGGCCTGCCCCAGGGACAGATGTGAGGTCTCAGCAGCTGGGATCCACACTTGCCCCTATAAAGACACGCTGAGTGTGCCCCCTCCCAAGTACCTGATGGAGGCGGCTCCTGATGTCGGAGGCACAGAGCTGGAGCATGTGCAAGTAGGAGACCTCGGTGTCGATGAGCTCCTTGACGGCCAGTCTCTGACGGAGCAGTGATCGGTCCTCAGAGACCCCGCCTTCCTTGTCTGGACTCCCCGACCTGGAGGACGGCTCATCTGCCCCGTGATTGGCCATGGCAGAGGGTTCTGGGAAAAGCAAAACCATCCCAACTGACTCCCAGGAACACTATGGGGACATGCTAACTTCAATTTAAAGACAACTGTTCATCAGGAGGCCTAAAAAACATCTTTAGCTGCAAATAGAGTGAAGATGAACTGTTTATTAGCATTTGTGGGCAGTATCTGAACAATATTAAAAGGTAGACAGCAGCTGAGATAATGGTTGATATTTTAAATTCATTTCCCAGGACTCAGACAACGTGCTGGCCTTGCTTTTCTTCTGTTTCCTCCCAGCTCTTGACCCAGATTTCTTTAACTGGCTCAGCTGAGTCTCTTTCACCTTCTCTCTCCCAGTGGTCCCCTCCTCTATACACCTCCCACTACCCCCATTCAGGGGCCGTACTACCCCGCACCTGGGCTATTTCCACAGACCCAAGGATCATCCTTCCAAACCCTTCTGTCTCCTGCTGCCACCAAACCCATTCTTCCTGGACATGCTTCCAGTTTAAACTCCCTGAAACAAAGCTTGTGATCATGGTGTGCCCTGCTGCAAGATTTTAGTAGCTCCCTGCTGCTTAGTGGTCGGCCCCAACCTCATTTCCCCTTCACAGACTGTCCTCCAACAGAAAGGGAGTTGAGAGCTCTTCTCCATACCTGTGCTGGCATTTCCTGCCCCTGTGCCATGGCACCTGCTGTGCCCCCTCCTGTGACTCCTTCTTCCAACATTCATCTTCTCTAGGGCCATTCCTGATCCTCCCCCCTTCCCCACCCTCATCAGCTACATTTTTCTTCTCTGCAACTCCTACAATCCCTGTATCTCTAAATTTAAAAAGTCTAAAGGGCAATACCGTGGACAAGATGACCTGAAAACCCTTCCTACTACAAAACACTTAGAAATGCTAGATCAGCTATAGCAAACTTCCCTTTAACTGCATGGCATAACTTGCCAGAGAGGAAAGGAAATCACCAGGGCCCAGAAACAGAGGAAATTGAACCTCAGAGCAGGAGCAGCTGAGCTGATGCAGCCGTGGCTCAAAGTGGAGGGGCAGGCAGGGAAGAGAGCATGGCCAGTCTCAGCCAACCAGGGACTTGGCGTTAGTGCCCAGGCAGGAACAGGAGACAAGCTTCTTCACAGAACTGGGGCTTCCCACGGACTTCAGTGAAATGGCGGATCAGAACAAAACATCCATCCATCCACACAGAAGATGACAAAAATGCTTCCCCATCTAGGGTTGGGCTGGGTCATGGGTGAAGAAAAAAGTTTTCTCTGAAAATTCATAACAACGGGCTGCCTTCACTGGGTTTCAGATTCAAATGTAGACTATACATGTCATCCAAATGGCCCAACCCGAGAAATTTACACAAAAAGGAGTCCTGTACTAATGCTATACTTTGAGTGGCCATAAGACCAATGAAATTTCTCAAGAGGATACATCTTTAAACTAGGTCACAGATAACCTTGACCTGAAGATGGGTTTAGAATCCCAAATTACAAAATTTCCACTGTGAATGAGCAGCAGCAGAAACAACAAAGAGTGAGATGAGACCTCAAGAACATCAGATGATCAAAAGATCAGATAAAAACTATGAAAGAAATAGGAAAAGAGGGAGGACATTAGTATTAAAAAGTAGAGGCCAGACATGGTGGCTCGTGCCCGTAATTCTAGCACTCTGGCAGGCTGACGTAGGAGGCTGGATTAAAGCCGGGAGTTCAAG